CTATCTATGTACATAATATCGAGTGTCTGTATGTATTTTACCGGATGAAAAGTTAAATGTCTGAGGTCATACATTAAAGGAGAAAACAGCCGTGCAATATGCACGGGTTCTCGCTAGTATTTAATATTTCTTGGATGATGGAAGTCTGAATTTGTTGCCACGCTTTTAATACGAAATGTTCAAGCTGTTGTTGTGTTGGTGCATGCTGTAAATACAAAATGCTTCATTCAGCCCCATACAGATTCAATAGCATTTAATTCAGCACTAACTGATGGATAATCATTTAAGGCCTTCCCGCCCCTCTCTCAAAAATCGATTTCAGGACCAAGTAGATTCAAATCGCGTGAAATTTTCAAGATTTCTTGGGACTGTGGTGAAGAGGTTGTGGTAAAATTTTCAGCTCGAAACCAAGACATTTGACAGAAGTATGAATCAAACAAGGGTCAAAAGTAGCTCATTTTGTGTCCAAGATTTCTCGGTCCGGGCTCATTCAATATATTTTTAATCTTTTTAGTGTACTCAAAAAGTGAGTACACTACTAAAATCGGTCTGTGTATCCGTCCGGCCGGCCGTCCGTCCGTCCGTTTACACGATAACTTTCGAAAGGAGAGTCAGATTGCGATGAAATTTTCTACACAGCTTAGTCTTGACAATATCTCGGTCGAGTTCGAAGATGAGAAGGATCCGTCAACAAATGGCTGAGTTATCGAAAAAATTGTGATTTTTGACCAGACCATCCCTGAGGGGGGGTACGGGGATTTTTCGAAAAAAAAGTTTTTGCTCATAATTATTCACAAAATACATAAATCGACTCAGTTTTTAACGCTGATTCTGAATCTGATATTAGTTTTGAACTGAATTATAGTTTTATGTACTCAAAAAGTGAGTACACTATAGAATAGTCAGTGTGTCCGTCCGTCCGGATGGCTGTTTACATGATAACTTTTGACAGCAGAGTCAGATTGCGATGAAAATTTCTACACAGCTTAGTCTTGACAATTTCTCGGTCTAGTTCGAAGATGAGAAGGACCGGCCGAGCCGTTCCTGAGTTATTGCAAAAATACCCATTTTGCCCTATAGCTTTCTGTGGGAAAATGGACCCATCGCGACTTTCGTAAAAGACTTTTCCTATCATAGTCAATTAAAACCCCAACTATTATATACCATTCGATAGAGGATTTCAAGAACTACAAAATGATATATAAAACATAAAGAAACAAGAAGGTTGACTTACCTATGACACGGATAATTAAAGAGAACTAGGCTATATTTTTGTCCACAATCTAATTGATCCACAAATAGAGCTTTATCTTCCGGTCACACTGATGATACTTCGAGGTTTTCAGATATGGAGAACTCGAATGTGTACTGCACTTCCATCGAAATACTATTAGCTGTGCAGTGACCAATAGAAATGAATTTATTGGGAAAACGACTTTCTTAGGGTAAATCAAGGGAAAGAGTTCAAACTTGAGCTGTATTCGGTCCCATGTCCTATTGGTTTGGCAACGCGCAATAGAAATCAACATTTTAAATGGTAGATTTCACAGTATAATTTTGATATTCAGACAGTCTAGGATGATTGATTTGTATGATTCACTTTTTGAAGTACACATAACTCTCGGATCTAAATCCGAAGTTTCCGCATTTATTTTTGTTAGAAAGAGCATGTCTGGATGCAGGGCACTACAGAGTCCTTTTTTCTTAATTCTTACTTTTTTAGCGGAGAAAGGCGATTACAAGTTCAATGACTCAAAAAACGCGCCAAAAATGGGCGCCTAATTACATAAATGTCTATATATATATATATACATATTAAAAGTAAAGCTTAATCAAAAAAGGACTCTGTGGTGTCTTACATCTGGACATGCTCTTTCAAAAAAAAAATATGAATATAGTGAAAAAGCCTGAACCGATAAATTTTGGGCAAAAGATCAAAAAATCATAAACTGAGAAAAAACGAAAAAGATTTTCGTTTTTTTCCAAAAATGGCTTATTTTTCGAATAGAGGATGATAGAAATCTTCAAAAATTTTTGGAAAAAACGAGGTACCGATAAAAAATTTTTGTCATTTATGAAAGATCAGATCACGGGCTATCTTTCTATGCATTTATCTTAATATCGATAATTCTGACGAAAAGTGACTCTTTTGAGGGGGAGGCCTTAAACATTGGATATTATTCTTAATGAGCCACTTGTGCACTACATTAGTATCAATAGACAGGTGATTCGGCATTTTTACATTATAATTAAATTTAATAAATAATTACATAAACTTACTTTAATTATCAATAAAAAGGTAACTAAGATATAATGACAACAACAAGAACTGAGATTTTAATGTTTCTCTTTCAATGATAGTTCTTATTGATAATTTATCAACGGTGCATAATTATCGATCTAGTCATTGAAGGAGATTTGTTTCTATAACTGATCACATGACATATGAATATCACCAAAGATATCTCTTTGTAAAGACAAATCTAAGACATAACTAACTGCCAACCGAAATATCAAATAAAATATCAAACAACTGAGAAACCAATAAAATACCAAAATTTGGTTTCAGTAGCATATGAGTGCATAAGACATATTGGTAGTTTTCTCCACCAATTCTTAACATATAGGGCTGAAACTTTCAGAATAAGTTGAGTAATTAAGAATGTATCTTTGATATAAAAATTGGACTGAACCGCAATAGTATAAAGAAATAATAGAAAAAATATAGTGTGAAGTTTATTTTGAGCAGAGGGATATATATATATATATGTAAATATATCGGAGTTGTTTTCATAGTTTAATTGAATATCACTCTTGCATTTCTATTCTATTTTGACTGAGCACGTGACTGTTGAACATTGACATCTTGTGGTTGTTCAATGCTGAATGGTGATATAAATTCGCATAATTCTTTATTTTCCATTAATAATTGAACAAACTCTTCTGAAGTTATTTCTATATCATTGAGAGCTTTGCCTTGATTAAGATGCTCAAGTGATCGTCTAAATTCATCAAGAATACGTGATTTTTTTTTTGGATCATCATTTGCATGAGCTTTCATTGCAATCTATAATAAAATAAAGTTAAATAAAAAAACACAACTAATCGTTACCTACTTTAACCATCCGATCAATTTCTTTTTTACTCATAACACCATTTTTATCAAGATCATACATTCGAAAAACATATTTAAGCTTTTCTTGTATACTACCATTAGAAGTTAATGCGAAACCAATTAAAAATTCACGTTGATCTAATAGATAAATATAAGAAAAAATACTGTTAGGACAATCCCTGTGGGATTAAAATGTGAGACACGATATCGCTATTATTTGCACCTTCAAGAACAGAATTGTCAAGGTGCCCGTCATCGTCTACAGGAGGGAAGTGGGTCCAAATTTCTACCCCATAAACTTCGACACTTCTTTAGACCACTTTTCAAAAAGAAGAACAAATAAGAAGAGGAGGGTTGATGACTGTTGAAAATGGCTCCCTGGAGAAATTTGATTTCTATGTTAAACTATTACACAAGTGTTCGAAAGTGAGTCCTCGTAGAGTTGGTCATATAGCACTTGTTTGTGATGTGTCCAGGTCGATTGAAATAGTCAATGACTGTCATATATATATTGAACCCGACTGGTAATGATAACCAGTATTTCTTATCTACCATCCCATGAGTGACCATTCTATTTTCATATAGTTCGATAGCACTTTCCAAGCGACTCAAAATTCTCCAAAGATATCGAAGAAAAAAATATTGATCGGTATAAGTTCTTATGGACCACATTGTCCTGATATGCCTGCAGTATTAGTATTACCTACTGAAAACCTGAGTCAATCTCAATCAATCTTATCGCCAACCAGGCTACTTTTCATATAGTTCTATAGTACTTTTCGAGAGCTTCAAAGTAGGTCTAAAAATATCGAGGAAAAAAAATACTGGCCACACAAGGAAATCCCAAGGACACTATTCTCGAAACATAATTTTATGATTTTTTTTGCCTGATATTTAGTAAATTTCGATTAGAAAAATACGATGTAGATAAAAACTAATGTGATATTCTGAATCAGCATCCAAAACTGAATGCACTTACGTGTATTTCAAAATTTTCACAACTTTTTTTTTTCGTCGAAAACTTCATCTTTAGCCTCCCTCAGAGTTGAGTAAAAAACTAATTGCATGAAACTGCTTTTATTGTTTATTCATCTATTTTTTGAAGTTTTACTATCGTTTGATAACCTTAGCTCTTGATTCTCACTGTCAAAATAATTTTTGAATGAAATTCATTTTTTGATCCAACCCTGAGAGGGACCAGGGTTGAGTTTCGGATCAAAAAAACGGTTCCGAAAGTATTTGAAATACATGTAAGTTCGCTCAATGTTGGATGCAGATTCAGAATATCATATTAGTTTTTATCCAAATCATAATTTTGTTGGTCGAAATTTACTAAATATCAGGCCAAGAAACATCATAAAATCATATGTCGAGGATGGTCTCCTTGAGATAGCTCCGTGTTATCAGAGTCTTTTCCTCGATATTTTTATATCATTTTGAAGTGCTCAAAAAGTGCTATCAAATTATATAAAAACTGGCCCAGCAGTTAATAATATTAGGTAATGTTGGCACACGATTTCAGTTAACAATTTGGACAATACTCGAAATAAGGGCATATCAGGGCTATGTGCTTCATGTAAGATCATATAGAGCAGCGTTTTTTTCGTGATATTTTTATGAGATTTTGAAACCGTTGAAAAGCGTTACCAAGCCATAAGAATACTAATATCGGCGTCAGAAGTCAGGGCAGTCGGATGTTTTTTGAATAACTTTCGATAGGAACAAGTCAGAGACCTGCGGTTTTCAGCAATTGATAGAAGATTATAGGGGACATATTTTTATATAAAAACCAAGGTTTAAATAATCAGGCATAATAGGAGTAATTTTTGAATGACTGAAACAATAGGCTCGTTATTTGGTAAAATCTTAGCAGAACAAGCTGAAACTTTCAGCATATATAGTCCCACTGTAGTCCAATCTTTCCTAAAAATATCGTTGATAAATCTTATAATGACGAGAAATGATATGCCAAACATCGTCTGGTCTTACATTAAGCTCTTATTCACTCAATATATTAGAAAATGACCTCAACTTTTGATTGGATAAGTATCATGATCTAGACTTTATATTTATGCAATAACATCGTAGTTTGGTAGTAGAAATGGAGGGAAACAGCCAAAATTTGACGAAGAAATGATTTCCATACAGTAAGTATTTTAAACAAATCTTTCCAACTTTATCAAGAGAAATGCAGAACTTAGTAATGTTTTCATCGTCTCTTCTCGTTCATATAATCAAACTATGATATAATTGCATAGATATGAAGTCTAGATCATGATACATATTCAATCAAAAGTTGAGATCATTTTCTAATATATTGAGTGAATGAGAGCTTTATGTAAGACTAGATGATGATTGGCATACCATTTCTCGACATTATAAGATTTATCAATGATATTTTTAGAGAAGATTGGACTACAGTGGGACTACATATGCTGAAAGTTTCAACTTGTTCTGCTGAGATTTTACCAAATAACGAGCCTATTGTTTCAGTCATTCAAAAATTATTCCTATTGTGCCTGATTATTTATACCTTGGTTTTTATATAAAGATATGTTCCCTATAATCTTCTATCGATTGCTGAAAACCGCAGATCTCTAACTTGTTCCTATCGAAAGTTATTTAAAAAATATCCGACTGCGCTGACTTCTGGCGCCGATATTAGTCTGGTCGGTCATCGGATGAATATATAAAAAAGAACTGGTCATCTTCAACAGTCAGGTATAGTGTACGCACGACAGCTATTAACTTTTTTGAACGGCGGGGGATACAGCACAAACAAGTGTTATAGGTTTAATTCTAGCAGGAATCACTTTCGGAGACCTTGAGTGAGAGTTTGACATGACAGATATTCATATTTCTGAACGGGGCCGTTTCCATTAGTTGTCGATCTCCTCCTTTATTCAATCAAAACTTAACACATACCAACAACACCATCATTATTTGCATCAAATGCTTTATGAATCTCATTTGCTTGCTTTTCAATTTGGTCTCCTTTACAACTATTGATACTTCGTAAGAAAGTTACTGTGTCCGCCTTAGAAATTTTTCCATTTGGACAAGCAGCCTAAATATTGAAATTCATCAATATTATGAATAAATCAGAATAAATATAAGACAAACCTTAAGTTTTCCATACCAAAGTTGAACACTTTTATGATCCATTTTAGCATTAGTTGAAATAAATTCTATATCTTCTTCACTTAATTCTGTTGGTGGTTGTGATGAGTTAGATCCCATTTTAATATCAATCAATATATATTTTACTTCCAAAATGGTGGTGCTTTTGTTTTGTTTTTAAAAAAATATACCGAAATGAAAAAAGGAAATGAATAAATAAAATAATTCGATCTAGAAATATAAGAAAAAAAGTTTATTTATAAATATTCATTCGTAAATAATTCTTATTTAATAAAAAATATAAAAGCTCGATTTTCAATACAAGAAAAAAAAAAAATTTATATTGCGAAATTACTTTAAGCGCCTCCCCCCCTCCCCCCAGAAAAGTCAATTTGGTCAAACTTATCGATTTTGTGATTTATAACTCATTAGATAGAGAAAAGTGTCTACTCTCGAATGCACTTTAGTTGATTGATTTTATGATGAGATTTAAGGATATTACATAGGTTTTTCTGAACCTCCATATTGAAAAAAATAAGATTTTTACAAACTTATTCTCCGTTGTTCTCAAAATCAGTTTTTTCGAGTATACCGTTTACGCAGGAGAACCTTTTTCACCAACGACTCAATATAAAAGTGGTAACATTTTTTATTAAACAGCAGACACTTGAGGCTACATCCTAATAGAGTCCGATTTTTGAATTATTCCTTTGTTTAAATAATAAACTTAGATCTTTGATTTGAATTAGCGATTTTTTCGCCACGAATTTGAGAATTTTTTGGAAAAGCTTCTTTAAAAATCAAACAAACAGAAATTAAAAAATCGGGCTCTATTAGGATCTAGCCTTATGTGTACTCTACAATTTAAAATCCACCCCCGACATGCTTAGCTCATATCCTCATTTTGGAAACCTTCCCAGCGTAAAGGATGTTTTTGACCAGTTAATTGACTATAGCTCATGAGTACCTTGCAGATTTAGGGAGATATTTTAATCGTAATCTATTCTAGCCAAGACTAACATTCTCTGAAATTTTGGTTGAAATTGGATGAAAAATAAAAAAGTTTCTTTGTGAGGGGGCCCTTAATAACAAAACGAAAACACAGTATTTAAACAACCAAAAGATAGGTTTTCATTGCGATATTATATTCATAACAAAAAACAGTGTATTTTAAAAACAAAAACAAATTGCAAATCTATTACCTCTCTCCAATTGCCAGTTTTTCTATTATAAAATAGATGTATTTCTTTCGTTGAATCGACAAATGGTATTTTGATTGTATACATTGGTTGATTGCAATGTTCTTGCCAATTTAATTCAATATATAAATTCATATTCTCATTTGGTAGACTCATGTTTATTTTATGTTCAATTAATTCTTACCTTTGATTAGTTTTGAATCATATATTGTTTGCGTATTTTGTTTTACAAGTATTCTTACTGTTGAAAAAAGTGTATAAGCAATATCTTGATTAAGATCTAAACCAATTATTGAAACAATTTGTTGCTTAATGGTAATATTTATTCGTCGATGAAGTTCCCATTCAGGTATTAGCATATTTAATTTTTTCATTAATTTTCTCATAAGATCATCACACATTGCATGAATATTTAATTTAGCTAATGAAGCTAATGAAGTTCATTGGAAATTACCAATGGCTAATTTTCCACCGTGCTGAGCAGCTATCATTGGAATATGAGCTGTTAGTGTTACACGTAATGATGAACCTAAGAGAAGACAAACATCAGCTTGTCTTGCATGATCAAAACTTGTTTCTAATTCATGTTTAGGTAAAATTTTACCAAAATTAATAAGGAATCATCCAAAAACAACATCCAAGTAAAGGAGAGAGGGAATGCGTCAAAACTGGACATCTGAACATTTACTATGAATATTTTCCTTTTGCTTACATGCGGTTTATTTAACTCTCTACCCACGATTGGGCCTTAAGGAACTATGTGTTGATTACAAGTAACTTATAAAAAACGAAAGTAAAGTACAAACATAAACTATATAAAACAATGAGTAAAGATACATGAGTCATGAGCAGCGGTTTTCAACATCGGACCACCTTGGTATACAAGAAAAATGCATAGGTCATCGACAAATAAGTTGCTTGAAACGTGTAGATCAGAAGGGAATTATATAAACATGCTGCTGTGGGAGAAAAGGTCCGAACATAATGCTAGTTCTCGAGAAACGAACACGTTGCTATTCCGTCATTCTCCGCCTGAATATTTGCTTTTTTTTAAACAAATTTTCGTGAAATATTGAAGATTAGTTTGTTTTGAAGAGCATTTTTAAATAGGAAATAAAGTGAGAGTGTGGGTGTGGATGTCAGAGTTAAGAGAACACTCACACCCACACCCATACCCACCCATATCCATATCCACACCCACCCACGCCCGTACCCACACTCACATTGCCAATCGACATTGATCTAAAGAAAAACTGTGGTTTTTACCGATTCACGGCATTCTAAGTGAAAATTCGAAGGAAAACGGCTCAAAAATGTATTTTTGCAACTTTCCATCAAGAAGTTATCTGATTAGTCAAGAACTGACCAATCACATTCTGATACTTATAGATAGCCCTGTGACTTAGCTTTCGAATGCTGAAAACAGCAGGTCTCTACGATGTTCCTATCAAAAGTTATTTGATAAACAGTGGTGGAGATTCTATAGAAACAGATAGTATAGTAAATGTGAATTAATATGGTATTTGCTAATTCTTGAATGGATCGTGCTGAAACCTTGAAGTTTTGGGGCAAAATAGATAATAGGTACTCACTTGCACACACAAACTTTCATTGAAACTAATGATGCTAAAGCGAAAAAGTTAAGCACCCTCGAAAACTCTATTTTTCGTAGTCTAAGGGTTTCCATTTCAGACACATCTTGGAGCCTCTAACCTCATGAAAACGTTTTTTTCTTAAAGAAAAATATGACATCTCATAGTGGCGACTCTAGCGAACAAGTTTTGAAAGACAAAATTTTTTTCTAAGGCTTCATAAGAGTAGAGGACGAGGTAAGAACTACTTTTTCCGCTGACATCAAAATAGCTGGAAAAACCGATTTTTTTTTCGATTTTTGATATTTTTATAACTCAGCCAAAGAACATCCAATCCATGAGATATTTTAACTGTAGACCCTTGGAGTCTAACTCTACAAACTAACGAAATTTGAGGGTATGTTATGGAGGGATACCCTCCCCCTTCAAAGACACGAATATCAGTTACCTATGATATTTCCATCGATAGGCCCTTCTCTTTTGTATTGATCATGAAGAAAAATCAGAAGCAGATACAGAGAAGAAAATTAATTTTTCTTCTCTCTATAACGAGGACGAAAATCAATTACCTGTGACAGTCGATCGATAGAATGCTCTCTTATTTTATCTGCGTATGAAAATTAAAAGTAGAGAAGAGAGTGAATAAAATTATTTTTTCTTCTCTCTATAAAGACCATCAAAATCAATTACTTGTGATGGTCGATCGATAGGATCTACTCTTTTTCTCTGCGTATGAAAATTAAAAGCAGACAAGACAGCAATGATAATTATTTTTCCTTCTCTATATAACGCGGACGAAAATTAATTAATTGTGACGGTCGCTCGATAGAGTATTCTCTTTTTCTCTACAGATGAAAAACGTAGCTTCCAAATTGCGAACAAAAATTAAGCCAATTAAGAAAAAAGTGTTCGCAATTTGGAACACAAAAATAACGTTGATCTTATTTTTATTGCGTTTCCAAATTGCGAACACTTTGATTAATTAGTTATTGCAATAGCTGATTATGACTTCAATTTTATTAATAATATAAATATAAAAGTTTGAGAATAAGAATGGTATCATTTCTTTTTATTTGATAAGTCAACACAAATTTGCAATTTGAATATATAATAATAAATGAGAATAATGATGAAAGAAAATAAAAAATAATATAATAATTTTTTTTTCTTGTTATTATTGTATTTTCTTACAAATAATAAAAATATTTAAAAACAGGAAAAAAATTATTATATTATTTTTTATTTTCGCTCATCATTATTCTCATTTATTATTATATATTCAAATGGCAAATTCGTATTGACTTGCCAAATAAAAAGAATTAAAACTATATTACTTAATTATAAAAAGTGTTCGCAATTTGGAAACGCAATAAAAATAAGATCAACGTTATTTTCTGTGTTCCAAATTGCGAACACTTTTTTCTTAATTGGCTTAATTTTTGTTCGCAATTTGGACATAGCCGATGAAAAATTAAAAGCAGAGAAAAGGGTGAATAAAATTATTTCTTCTTATCTATATAACGACCATGAAAATCAATTACCTGTGACAGTTCATCGATAGGATGTTATCTTTTTCTCTACGTATGAAAAATTAAAAACAGACAACACAGAAAAAGTAATTATTTTTACTATATATAACGAGCACAAAAATCAATTCATAAAAATTTCATAAAAAAATCGAGGATTCAATATTTTGTGAATCGAATTTCGGGTGTGGGTGTGTGGGTGTCGGTGTGAAGGTGGATATTGTGTTCTCTTTATCCACACCCACAAGCGTATCGACTTGTATGCGTGAAAACCAATCAAAAACAGACTCCAAACGTACGTCCACCGATTCTGAACAGTAAATAAAGGAAAAAGCAAAAGCAAAATAAATAAAAACTTATAAAATTAAATTGGGCACGACTTTATAAGTGTCAAAGCTGAACAAGTATTGTTTTTACAAATCCACTGTTGAATATCACTGCAGATGAATCAGTACTAAATATAGGTTTTTCAATACTGAAAAAAATTTTGTTAAGAGCTAACGTTCACTAAAAAATTAATTCATACTTAAATTTTAAGTTGGACATTGTTTTTAGTTAACGAACATTTCACACTGTATTTATTGGAACACTTAAAATGTGACATTAGGTGATATTTTAATAATTTTATCAGTCGCAAACGTTCACATGATTATATATAATAAGTGTATAATTAAATAAACTAATCATCTTTTCAATACTAAACAAAGCTAAATCAAATTGCATGATAAGAATGCTACCCATTCCAATAATGCTGGACTTTAATTAATCCAATATATTGAATCCAACAGTTCTAATTTTCTACTATGAACTACGTTGATTTTGCATATGAATAACTCGATTAATATGTATCATATTTTACTATATTTCAAATTTCGTGAAACTCACATACATTATTGAATAAAATGGTGAATGTAAGTTTAAAAGCGAGATTTTTGTGGCTTACAACCTCCCCATTACGGATATTAATGAGTATTTGACATCACTAATTGAAGACCACCAAGGGGGGGAGATCATTACAAACAGTAGCAACCAATTATTGATTAGAAAAAAAATGAAAATATTAAATGATAAAAAATAACGACAATACAAATAAAATGAAAAAATAGTAAAGATACGAAAGAGAAAAGGCGCCCAGAAAAAGAAAAAAATATCTTTTGAGAATGTAGAAATATATAAGACAGGTTTTTGCTCTAGTGATCCATTAGTCTGAAAAATATGTATAGTCCTTGAAAAATTTTTATTTTACGCATTTTCATCAGTTTACTGAGGCTAAAAGAACATACGTAATTTCCACATTATAGGCTCAAAGGAGCTGCGCTGC